ACAGACTTCATGTCTTTACTGTATGTTGGTTGAGCTTTAATTTGATGTGCGATTTTTGTTTTGTATCTTACAGGAAGTATGAGACCTAACACTGTGGTTCTCGGATTTTACACACGTTCCACTCCTGAAGAACTGCTTAAAAGTGACGAAGAATTAGAAACACATGGTTCTAGTTCATTTACTTTTTCTGCAGCTGGTTTCAAGCCATCTAGAGAAAACTTTTCTCCCTGGGAATATGTGGCTATTATCTCTGATTCAATCAAGATGTCCAAGAATGTGGTTTTGGCTAGGTACTTCTCAGAGTTTAACAGATACAGTGTACGTGGCAAAGAGACCTACATTGATGTTTGGCCACTAAATCTCTTACGACCAGACAGCACAGCCTATGTAGACACCTGCAGTCTTTTCCTTCTGCAAATGGCCTGTGTCTTGAACATGGTACGGTCCTGGAAAAAAGCTACGCTACGCCTCTTTCTCTGCATAGAGACAGAGAGTGGTTTAAGGGGTCAAGAAGTCAAACTAAAGCAACTTCTAAAGGATCTTCGCATCAAGGCTTCAATCCAAACAGTAGTTTGGGATTCTGTGGTGGCTTTGCATTGGCACAAGCAGGCTCCTACAGATTCTGAAGCTTCAGAAGAGGCTTATCTGAATTTTCCAAACAATTCCAGCAGGATCTCAAATGATTACTTACATGCTGTTAACCAAATGATACTAGGGCAGAATGCTCTGTCTCCCCCCATTGTAAGGTTTCTGTACCTTCCTCGTCCACCAGCAGACACTTCTGTTTACACTAGGTTCCTTCACCAGTTGGAGACAATAACTAGAAACCTGGGACCAACATTGCTTATTCATGGGACCAATCCTGTCACAAGTACAGAGCTTTGAAAAAACTGTTGGGATAAGGTGGGGAATATAAACCATGGAGAAAGCAACCTGATTGCACATTGTCAGTATACTGTATTAATGCAATGATGTCCAGGTTGCCATTATTGCAATACAGACAATGTATTGGCATTTACCGTTCCTATGGATGTGCCTTGATGTGCCTTAATGTTGTCTCATCTGCTATTACTGACAGTAATACAAGACTGACCTTTGATACAAAACTGATAATTCTGGTTATCTTTACGATGCCTGACACCATATTTCACTGTTACTGGAATTCCATGTATAGTAACTTTTACCGGCAATACCTTTTGTCATAGATTTATAAAGTTGGGGACATTTAATCAAATATGCTGAAAATGTTTACATTCCTCCATATGCCTTCTTTTGCAAGAAAAAATATGTCGATTTTATTTGCTTTCCTTCTTCCATCTGGTTTCATGAAGAACCCTGGCTAAAGAATTAATAAAAGTCTTGTTTATTATCCTGGTAATCGAGACAAGATATTCCACATACCTAATACATAGACAATGCTAAAGGCACTTTGATAAAGTAATGAGAGATACGAAGAATGCAAGAGAAGCTAAACACTTTGATACAATGGCCTTTGTTTCAGTTGCTAAAAATGATATACAATGCATTAACATTTTGAATGGTGTGATATATGTTTTTCCAGGTGCGTTGACAGTATGCTGTTAACTGTGCCAACAAGGTACTGCAGTGAGAAGCCTCTCTTCCAGAGAAACTACTGCCCATTCACTCAATTTCTCCTTCTGCATCTACCTGTGAATTAAGAGGCTTGCTGTACTCAGGAGACATACTCATCTCCCAATAACCTTGTGCTTGAATGATATGTGATAGCAGTTTGGATAATGCATGGAACAGGCTGATCTTTTTGTGAATGTGATGGTGTTACTGACACTTACAGTCTAATTACAATCTCATTTGAACTCGAGCAGTAAGATCTCCCAGTTTTATTAATTTCTTTTATGTCCTTAGCTGAATTCTATTTAACATTGAAAACTCAGGAATAAAATTGTGTGTGCATTTAAGAATACAAAGCACCAAAAAAACAAAATATATAAAGTAACTTAAAGTCTACACACATAAACTGTAATGTAGCACCACTGGGGGGCGGAGCTTGACCGACATGCAGAGAAGTCGCATAAACCCGGGGCCCCGTGGAATGAATCTGTAATTAAGCTGTGTTGTTGCTCAACTACTGGGCTGACCGGATTTAATCCTCACCTACTCTTTGGTACTCTTGTGGTGGCACAGGTGGGGCTCTTTGGTCTCTATCCTGGCGACAGCGATAACCGGTCCGTCTTGCGGCCTAGGTGGAGGCGTGGGCGTGGGTGAGGCGGCCGATCATCCAGCCCGGGGCTCCCCGGAGCCAGAACTTGAGGCTGCAGAGGGCCACCTGCGAACCCTCCATGGCGATGAGGGATATCCCAGCACCAGCAGAATACATACACTGTATGTCTCAGACTACTCATACCAACAATCACCAGTTCCAATATGGCGGACGCCATACATCAGTCGGCAAGCCTGGGGGCCTGTAGTGGTCTTGCATCTCACTCTCTGACTAAGCTTGATGAAATCTTTGCTTCCTTTTGGGCCAAGATATCCGAGAGAACGCTGAACCCCCCACCTGCAAAGCAGATCGTTCTAGCAACTGCACCTCTGGCAATCTCATGCCCCAAGAGCGGACGCACGATGGTGGTAACAAAAGGTTCCCCAAGGAGGTGCCGATGACGGGGCCGGCTGCACAGGCAGAAACTGAGAAGTTGTTCCATATCTAGCCTTCACCTCCGCGTCAAGACACCACGACTCCAGACCTGACCTGACGTTGCCTACCTCCCAGAGATGCTCCGACCCCCCCACTATGCTAATCTCTGCCAACATATGCCGGATACCTGGCACCTGCTCATACGCATGCCTCTTACATACCAGATGACTGTATTTGGTGCCCAGAGGGGATTGACTGGTTGTAGCCATGGGAGCGCAGTCTCTCGGGCTATAGCTGTATTTTCCCACCATGCCTCTTAATCCATGAGCTGTTCTCTGAATACTAGCTAAACATCCATTTACAGTCTTTAACCTTTCATTATTTCAATTCCTGCTGTGTTTTTGCCTATATCTCTAGCTTGTGTTTTCTTGATTACTTATTATAGAAACGGGGCAACGTTCTAGATATGACCCATAACTCTTAGTTCACGCTGCATCCCAGTTCACAGCTGATAATGGGTTTAAGCTTAGTTTACCTACAACAGGGTTAAGCTTGTTTTCCATATTATTTTCATGATACTAATCTCATGTCTAGATTGTCTTGCTAGTTTAATTACCAAGTTTCACCAGAATACCAAAGATATGTGCCTAGCCTGTACCAAATATTTTTCATAACCATAGAAAATGTGCATTTATTTCTACTGCCATGCTGCAAGTATACTATGTCTGATGAAGTAGCTTGTTTTTGTGGTGGTGGCAGCACAAGCCTGTTTTGTAACCTTATGCACAACTCAAAATAAAGAATAAAAAAACAAAACTGTAATGTAGCACCACTAACCAAGCCTTCTTCTTTCCATCCAAGTGCAATATGTAACTCATTATTCATATATCCGTAAAACTGGTTACAAAAATGCATGTAGTAATTCACTAAGCTTTGCATTTACAATAGAAGATTCTGGGAAAATTATTTGGGCAATTCATTGTTAAGTGAATGTTTACATTCACACACTTTCTATAGAATGTAAAAAAATGTTTGCTTTTATACTTTAAGCAGAAACAAGCTTCGATGTCGTATTTGGAGTTAATCTCCCGATTTTTCTCCAGATTGACTGTAGTGAATTCCTGTATTGCAAAGTTGGGGCAAAGTCAGAATTACATAAAATGTATATCTAATAAATTATATAAATTCAACATTTATTTTTGGATTAGACATAAAGGGTTGGTTGCTTGTAGGGTAGTTATTCTGACTATATATATAGCTCACCTTTGGAGAGTTTCTGCAAGTTGTATGAAAAATTTAGGAATTATCTGTAAATTTTGCAAGGCAGAGGCATTATGAGCTTAGTAAATTACACCCAAACATTTGATGAAACAGTAAGCATAGATCTTAAATGCACCGGTTTACTCCCCACTTGAACACTGAGTAGTTAGGAGACCATCTGTTTTAATTTACAGCCACAATGTTTCGGTGGTCATTTTTCAATGTCTGCAGTTTTTCTAGTTAATAAAATAGCTTATCTTGTTATGTGTAACACATTGCTGTGCATTCTCTTGAGATCTGTTTGCACCAGTTCTGTTATCCCCTGCAGTTCATATTGCTGTTAAGATAATAGGTACACGGGCAGAAATGGAATCTTATGGTAAGAGCTCTTTCAGCAGGGTACTTCTCAAAAATATTTTGTACATTCCTGCTAGCAGACAATTTGTTATTTTTTTTATTTTGTACAATAATACCTATTCAATGTTACAAAATTGTAAGACAGGATTCGCATCATATCAGTGTTGAAAATGCAATCAATATACAGATTTTCTGAACCTTGCTAGAATTAATATCGTATCTCAATATGCCATTTTGATTTTAAAGATCCACATACCTTAACTACTCAGCCATTTCAAACCAAATATTGAAAAATTCACCTTTATTCATCCACATGTCCTATGTCATTAAATGGAAATTGACACTTCGAAATTTTTAATATTACATTTACTTACGCCTGTGTTTAACAAATATATATTTGTGAGGTTTAAAAAATAAAGTTAAATGTTGAATTCCACAACTTTACCCTACAATTTAGCCTCTCCATCTTTGCTCCCTGCCAATCACTGTTATAAGTTCTGTCTTTGCACCTTGCAGTCAGCATACAGAAAGCATACAAAGAAAAAGGAACATTAAGAAATTTTTCTATTTCCCCTCTTCATTTGCAAAGTTTGCCCTAGTTTTGCCTTACCTGATCTGTATTACAAAGTGATTTGCTAAATCTTTACTATAGATTCAAAACAAAATGGCCCATCTCATGAACAAAAAGGTAAAAGAGACACTTTAGCTCTCTGAAGTGCTTTACAGGTGAAGAGTGTGTCCACTATTTTCCATTTTACAAAAAGTACAGATTTCAATAGAATTGGCACTATCATGAATTAACCTTGTTTTCTGGTTTGGTTAGCTTAGTAGAGTTAAGCTCAAGAGGAAGAAATTGCTCAGATTACCTGCCTTGCAATGACTTCTCATTGAGCTGCATTGGGAAGTTTGTGATTGGACAGTCACGGAAAGTCTGGGCAAGGTTAGAAGGGGAGGGCATGCATAGATGCAGACAAGAAATCAAGCTGTTTTTAGATATACCCCAATGAAAAAATGCATAATTAAATGCATGCATGTTTTCATTGGGGTATATCTACTAGATAATGTTTTTTGAGGGGTTTTTTAAGTGGTGGAGAGTCCTTTTAACACAATTTATAGGTGATTTTTAGTGCTTTATTCAATGGTGCACGTTTTAGATAAATGAAAGTTCCTCTTTAAATCCTTTAATGTTAAATGATTGATGATAAAAATGCTTGCTTTGACATTGCTCTATTTTGGTGCTATAAAGGTTTCAGTTCACTCTTATGCAAACAAATAATAGGATACTTTTTTCGCTCCATGTTTTGGTTCCTTTTTTAAGTGATTAATGTATAGAATTTGTAGTTTTACAATGTATGTATTTTTATATGGTGATTCATAATACTGTTTTATAGAGCATTCTCTTAAATTAAACGAATCAGAATTTGGCATCTGATCGTAGGTTGGAAATATTACTCCACTTAACGGTACCTATTTCATGAAAGGCTCACTTGGTCTTGCTGGATTTTACCAAGAAACTATGAACAATGTCACTGGCCCTAAACAAAGTGACAGTGTCACCTAGGTATTATCTTTAGATAAATATTGCAAGCAGAGGTGTAACTAGAAGCAACTGTGCCCACTGTGAAAAGTTCCCCTCCTCCATTTGTCTCTTTCCCACTCCCCTAACTGTCTAATCCTCCCCCGAGCCCCTCCTTGTGTCTCATTCCCTCCCCCTCAAAGCCCCTCCATGTGTCCCATTTTCTCTGCCCTAAAGCCCCTCCATGTGTCTCATTTCCTGTCCACAGCCTCTTCATGTCTCATACCCTCCTCCCCCACAGCCTCTCCATGTGTCACATTCCCTCTCCCCATACCCTACATGTGTCAAATTCCTCCCTCTCTTTCCTCCCTCCTCTCTATGTATCCCATTCCTCCCTCTCTTTCTTCCCTCCCCTCTATGTATCCCATTCCTCACTATCTCCCCTTCCCCTCCATGTTTCCCATTCCTCCCTCTCTTCCCCCTCCCCCTCCATGTGTACAATTCCTCCCTTTCTCCCCTCTCCCCTACTGTACCTGGTCACCGCCTTGGTTCCCGGTCTGACAGGAAGTGCTCTCTCAGTAAAAACTTCCTGTGACTCAGCCACTCTACACACAGGCAGGAGGGGAGCAACACAGCTCTCCCCTTCTGCCAGACAACCGGGAAACAAAGATATGCAGGTGGGCCATGGTAGCAGCTGTGGCCGGGCCCCCTGAAATGACGGCCTGGACGCAGCGGCGACCTCTGCGACTGTAGTAGGTACACCACTGATTGTAAGTTAAAAGATTCTTGCAAACAGAAATATGCTAATGCACCCCTTTCTCACAGCTTAAATTCCCTGTGCATATATATTCATTGTCACATCAGGAGAGGTTTATTGCAATTCATGGCCATATCTACCAGTTATTCTTAAAGGGATCCTATAGTGCCACTGGCACTATATGATTAATAGCTCCCCCCCTCCTTCATGCCCTCCCTCTCCCCCACTGGGCTGAAGGGGTTCCCTCCCTCCCACTGGACTGAAGGGGGTTCCCTTCAGCCACTTACCTGAATCCAGTGCCAATGTCCCTCAGGACTGGGTCAGGCTCTGCCCACGCAGCCGGCGGGGGAGACCTAATGCGCGTGTGCCAGCATCAGATAACGGACCAAAAGTCCATTAGGATTCCAAAACCCCTCTAATGGCTGTCTTTTAGACAGCCACAGAGGGCAGACTTAGAGCTGCAATGTAAACTGAAGTTGTCTGGGTGCCTACAGTGTCCCTTTAATCCCTAAATACACCTGAGCTGTAGCCATGGATCTAGTTTGGGTACCTGGAAGGAACTTATTTGGAGATCCTGAAATTTACTTCTAAACTGCATTGAATTGGCCAGGGAAAGAAAAGAATTGCACAGGAAACAAAAGGATGTAAAAAGATGATCTACACTGTATTTGCTTTTTACTAAATCAAAGCCTCTAGATTGATTGTACGAAGACAAAGGCAAAAATAAAGTACAAAGTGTTTCCTTGAAACTATGAATTCAGTTTAACAGTTCTAAGCTTTAATGTGAGAAAAATGGAAGCGTAAATAAAATAATATACCAGAGAGTACAGACTTACTCTGAGCTTTTAAGAAAAACACACTTTTCAGACACTTGTATGTGCATTAGCATTATGGACTGATATTTAGTATGCCTAAAGTAGCTGGGGGGAAAAAAGTGTTAACGTTGGCAAAAAATTATTGAAGGTTTGACTTTTTTTAGTGTTTTCATTTTTTTCTATTTTAATTTATCTCCAGAGGCGTAATTGCTTTATTTTAAATCTTTTTTTTCCCCACTTCCTGAAGCAGCTGTCTTGTGAAACATATTTGCCCGATATTCAACTGCAGAATTTCAAATGGGATCGGCTGTTCCTACTGATTCATCTGACACTTAAAGCAGAGAATTGTCTGGGAAAGCTTTGAAAGCTACTGCAAATCACAAAACTCACCACTGCAACTGCCACAGGGCCCGCAAGGTATATTAAATTTAATACATTGCTTCTTCTGTCAATGGAAAGCATGAAGGAGTTTCTGTCTGTTCTGACCTGAATGAGTCATTTCTCTTAAAATGACAGATCATTAACATATCAACATCAAGACTATATATGGCAGGCCGTGCCCTTTAAATGCAAGTTGCAGTAATTAAAGCTACTTTTACCCTGGTATACTTAGTTCAGTTTTCACTATATTTTGTGCAAAGCATATTTACATAAAGGTCAATTAAACATTTATCACCTATAAGAAATAGAGTATGTATAAAAGAAAGAAAGGTAGCGCTAATGATATTTAAAACCTTTAAAAAACAAACAAAAACAAGATACCTAAAATAACAGTTGAAAATGTCCACAATAATGTAAATATAAATTGCAATGTGCAAGGGAACAGGCCAGGCCATGAGAAGGGTACTCTTCTTGTGTGGAATCTTGGGTCAGAAGTTGCTTGCAATCCATATAGACATATAAGAAAACAAAAACAAATCCAAATTGTGCAGTATGAACTGGGTAAAAAAAACTAAAATAAAAATACTCACATTTACCAGAGCTAATATCAGCTCTAGTGTAGAAGACATAGAGTGGTATTATCCCCACTTCTGGGATATAAGAGAAGACTTAGTTTTCAGGTATCACAGCAGTGTGGCAACAATGAGACCCAAAGGGAAACACAACAGAAAAAAATAGTGATCTCTTTATGTACTAAACCAGGAGTAATAGATAGATAGATATTACTCACATTTGGTTGAGCAGGCTGACCGCTCAATGCGTAGGGCACAGATTGTATGATCCCCACTCTGGATTCTTTGGTGAGGTCCTCACTGGAGTAAAGAATAGTATTCAAATGCAGAATTTTGGATGGGATTGGCTGTTTCTACAAATTCATCTGACACTCAAAGCAGAGAATGGCCAATCCCATCCAAAATTCTGCATTTGAATACTATTCTTTACCTCAGTGAGGACCTCACCAAAGAATCCAGAGTGGGGATCATACAATCTGTGCCCTACGCATTGAGCGGTCAGCCAGATGTCTGGCTAGTCTGCTACTGAGTGTCTTTAGTGAGGTATTGTCTCCCTTCGTGTCAGTTCGTCGTCTTACGTGGTGTGTGTGCTGATGATTTGGCTTGTGGTGTGAGTCCATTAGGGCATGGGATGTAGCGACTATGTGCATGGTGGTCCCCTTTAACGCTGGCTGTGCCGTTCCAGGGGGGGGACATGAGTGCCCTAGGGGGCTTGAAGTTGTCTTGCGTTTTTCGTTGGGTCATCTGTTTCTGCCTACAGGCAGTTGACCAGTCTCTATGTGTCCCTTTATGCCGGGGTTGGGCAACAGCTCGGTGGGGCTACGCATATGGTATGTGCTTCAGCATATTTAAACAGTTGAAAAGATTTGCAAGTTTATCATACATAGACATTCCAATTACCTTATAGCTTCACTCCCTCCTTTCCCCCCTCCACTTCTCTATAAGACATATGCCCCTCCCTCCTTCCCCCCACTCCTCAATTACCCAACAATCAGGATTATTATCATATTATGACACTATACCTTCTCCTCTTCCCATGACGTCCCCATCCCTCCCATCTAGGTCTCTTCTCCCTCCTTCCCTTCTCCCGTCGTATTGTACGATTGACTTTCGGCCACTTATTCCATATGGTAGGCATCTGTCTCTCATACCCTCCTTTCCCCTTCCCATCTCTTCCCTCCCAGCCAGCCATCTTCTTCCTAGGCCTCTGTCCCCTCCCTCCTTCCTCTCTCCCGACCTCTGACCCTTGCACCCTGTTGTTCCCTATCTCCCTCTACCCGCTGTCAACAACCCCACCATGGAACAGTGTCACATTGTCCATAGTCCCTGCTCAGGAGCCGTGCGTCCGCATCTGATTGTAGTCAGTCCATGCAAGTGGTCCATATGCTCGGGTCCCAGCATTTTTTTTTTTTTGTTTGTTTGTTTTTTGTATGCCCTCTGCCCTGTCCCCCCCAACCTGATCCAGTGTCTCTACTTGTAAGGTGGGGGTGGTGCTTATGTCACCTTGAGTCTAGGAGGTACTATAGGCATCCTGTGTCCCGGGATCATATGTCATTGTCACTCTCATTGGGTGTCCAAAAGTCTAAGTGTGTATTGCACTTATCTGTGTGTCCTTGGTCTTGTAGTTCGTCTGTTGTCTGCTGCGGGAAACTTTATACCTCTGCTGGTTCGTGCCATGGGGTCCATCTCCTGTTCTGAGACCTATTCCGCTCCGGCGTGTGCTTGTTGTAGCGTTGGCTGTTGGTATCTGCGTGCTTGGCATCCTTGCGGCAAATCTTCTCTGCGGCGTCTGGGTGCTCTGGGTGTCATTTGGTTGTTTCTCTGCTCTAGCAGGCCCAAGACCCAGTCTAATACTTCAGTGTGAGGCAGACCCATGGTTAGTAGGAATGTGGATACTTCCTCTGGCCAGCGTAGGGACTTCCATTCATTGCCATGTTTAGCGGTCAGGCAAAAGGGGAAGCCCCATTTATATGGTATATTTCGGCTTCTCAGTAGCTGCGTCACTGGCCTCAGGGCTCTTCGGGCCTCTAGTGTGAGGGGTGATAGGTCTTGGAACAGGGATACGTCCGCTCCCCGGAACCACCAAGTTTGTTTGGTTCTAGCCTTGTTCATTATAAGTTCTTTTATCCTGTATTCGTATAGGCAGCATATAATGTCCCTTGGTGGGTTTTCTGTAGTGCGGGGTCTCAGAGCCCTGTGTGCTCTGTTGAAGTCGAAGCACTGCGGGGCATCTGGG